GAAATTTTGAATTATATTTTAAAGAGTCTTAGAAATTCCTGAGGACGGGGGAGGTTCTTAATCCGGCAGATTCGTGAGCAATTTAATTGCGCATGAAGTTTAGAATTACTTCCATGTTGGAAATCTTGGAGATCTCTGAAGGACCTTGTAATCTTGATGAATTTAAGGGGCTGCAAATTTTCACGAGGCTAATTTCGCTCTGGAGCCAGGCATAACTTTGCGTTTTGCTGTTGCAATTCCTCTGCTTGCAATTTTGAACACTTCCAACACCTCTGTACAAAACAAACCAGATATCCTTAAATCCTTGAAATTTTCTGAAATATAAATTTAATTTTTTTAAGTCAGTTGTATGAATTTCTAGTGATTCGAGCAATTTGTAGCTCCGTGTTGGGCACTGATGGAATCTCGAACGACCAGAGGGACGATAATACGAGCCAATCGGCAGGACGTGCTCGACGAACGTAATAATCGATCGGTTGAGACGTTTGACACACTTTTCGAGGCGGACAACGATTAATTTTTGACGATGCATATCTGTTTCGCGGAGAAGGGAGCAGAGGCATAGCTATGCGTGGAAATAGTACTGGCTAGATGGTGAAACCTATGTATCGTAATAAATAATTGATATTATTCTTAGTTTTCGGCCATGAGATTAAAGAAGAACCTCTTAAACGCGTTGAAATTTGTCTGATAAAATTGTTCTCGATACCATTGACGTATAGATAGATGGGTATAAATTTTTCACTTTGAAATTTCACGCTAGAGGTTAATCTGAGGCAATATGGGGGCCAAAATGGCGGTTCAGTTGCTCAAATGAATCGAGTTATTTCTATTGAAAAACAATGTTATAGTTTTTTGTATATTGAAGTTTAGGTACTCAGAATTGAGGTTATGTTGAATTTTTAATCAAGTCCCGGGACTGAGGCTGTCGCAATACAGAATTCTAGTGGTTAACTAATTTAACCAACAAAAAAATTTTGCAAAAATTTTAAAACACACTTGGAGCATTAATAAATGATCCCGAGATCTAAAATGCTTATTACATAACCAATGGTTTCGTTGAAAAATTTTAGAAGAGTAAATTATACATTTCGATAAATTTGTGTGAAATTTTCCGTGTATAATTCCATGACCACTAGGTACGTTCCTGGTTGGCTCGTGTGCGTGATATTTATGAAGGTACACGCGAGGCACGCTCATAGCGTTCGCGTGTTAACTACCGTAACACTCGAGTACATCTGGGGTTGCACGGGTGGACGGGGTCGCGACTGAAAGGAAGGGGCTGAAAAAAGGTGTGAATGCGGGATGGCATTCATTCAAATGCCGTCCAATCACAGCATCGTACTCCAGGTCGAGTAGCAGGGCCGGCATACATCGGGAATTATTAAGTCCTCGCGATTCTCTGTCCCGCTAACGAACTGCATTAACCTAAATCAGGAAGAAAAGGCGCTGGATAAACTGTATAAATTGAGCAGATTCCACTCTCGTTAGCCGGATTGAGAGTATGGTTGTAAATGATTAATGGTTTGAACGAGGGCTTTCGTGTTGACTTTCGTCAAATTTGAAGTTATTTATGATTCACGGTATTACAAAAAAATAGCAGTAAAAAAGAAAGAAGTGGATTGAGTTAGAGTCATCTTAAATAGAGGTTATGTGTTAGAATATTAGGATTGGTTTTACGCATAATATTATTTAAACCTTAAGGCTACTTAGAATTGAATTATTGTTAAAATTTTGCAGTTCTTTGCGTGTAAATTATTTACAAGATGATTTATAATTTATAATATAAGAAAAAGGATAATAAATAGTGAGTAGAGAAAAGGATTAAGGTAAAATCGTCTTGATATAGATTATACGTCAAATTAAAGTCTATCGATGAAATATAATATTCTACAATAAAGTAAATACAAAGAAAAAGTTGAAAAAAACAATCATGAAGGAAAAATCGTATTAATATTTGTCAAATTGTGCACTATTTGAAGAGATTTTAATTGTTCTCTGATTTCTCCACTTAAGATACAGATCACAGTGAAATTTATGAGACCACCAGAGGATCCGGCTCGAATCGACAAGCCGACGTCTTTCCGGCAAGTGTTTTTGACACGAGGCGGCCTCTCGAATCGATCCAGGCCAGAATAGCCGAACCGGAAGTGGGATGTTTAGGCTCGATGGGAATGACAACGAAGAGAGTGACTTAACTTTGAATCGTAGCGCAGGGGATGCCATTCGCTGTGAATCACTTCAATGAATTTCCTAAAAATCCTAACCTATACGAGAATTACTTTCGTCCAAGGAGGGCGATTCTACTGCTTAAGAATTAATTAAAAGGGAAACGAATCGTCGACGTTGATCGAACGGGGATCCAAGCAGGCGTCAGACTCTTCCATGGACCCCTGTTGTCGCGTCTGAGTTGGGCTGTTATTTACTAGGCGAGAAAATCAGTGTAGAAAGGAAAATGTAATTGTAGTTCGTGTAAAGTGAGTTTCTTGGGATTGTTTCAACGTAGGTCATCGATATAACAAATGTTCCAATTATATTTAAGTCATTTTCAAACTCTGATGGTTATTGGATATACAGCATTATTGAAATTATTGTCAAACACCTATGGTTATTTATAAGTAAAATTATTACCAAAATCTACAGTTTTAAAGTTATTCTTTAAATTATGAATGTTACATTTCAGTTCAGAAAAAAAATTTTTTTTTTTTCATGGTATAAATAACAATTATTTTTCCGTTTAATAAAATATTCTCGAGTTAATGTCTTTTTTATCTGACAATACCCGTTTGAATATGACAATTCACATGGACACGATTGGTCAGAGTCAGAAGCACTATTGAACCGGTACGAACTGGATCTATGTTCAACATTCAGGTTTTCCAGTGTCGCCAGTTGAAACTGATACACTCCAGGCCTGAAAGACAAGTAACTTTCATCGATCTTGTTTGACGATCCCGTAAAGCCGGTGAATCCTCTCTCGTTTTTGCGT